ACAGTGGATTTTCTAGCAAAAATAAATAAATAATTCAAATTCAAATCTGACCACATATATATATATAATTTAAATTCGAATCTGACCGCCACAAATATACATATATACATCCACAAACACAAGACCATTATTTAGAACATCATCACAAGTCATAATTCACAAAAGTCCATCATTACAACATAGTCCATTATGAAGTCCATCATTATAACATAGTCCATTAAGAAATCCACAAGTTCACATGCAAAACAAAGTCCAAACCGTTCGTTCCAAAGTCTGATCCAAACCATACCACAAGTCCACATTGTCATCAACGGCCTAGGGCTAGCCTATTAGTCTCACGAAAGTGTTGGTATAGAGGATTACTACCTAAGTCGGAAAGAAGATGATGGTAAGTGCCTTTATGGTACACAATCTGGTCCATTATGAAGTTGCAAAGGTCGCTGACCATCTCTAAGAGCTCATCATCCTTGTATGGGTTCCTTATCATGTCTTTATCTTTCTCCAACTACAAGAGAACAAGTTTAGGTTTACTATATCACAACATATGCGAACTTTTCATACTACGAGCGAAGAGGTTCAAACTTATCAGATTGGGGTTTCTGTTGTAGCCACCGATGGTACTCATCATAATACATGTGTAGTATCCACAATGTAGACTCCCAGACTTCTGCTTGGGGCACTGTGTGTTTTGCATATGGAGATGTTAAGTAATGCTATTGACAGACACGTAATATATAGAGTACCAAAGTAAATGACACTTACCACACATAGAGTTTTGACATACAACTTTTCCTTCCTATTTGGATGATGCCTCCTTATGTTCCACGGACATAGTGCCCGAATGCCTTGTTCCAATGGTTTTAGCAAATGCAACTTGTTAGTATCCCACATTGTACCATACAAGTATGTATACAAACATAGTAGCTAAAATGAGGATTGTCGATATGTATATCGTCTTGACAATCGCTATGAAGTCTTTGTATGTCTCATTTGGGAAATCCATTGAATCAAAGACCCATGCCATGCTATGTGAGAGCCAGACGCCTATACAAATCCAAATTGATCATTGCATGAATTTAGTCATAGAAGGAACACATAAGCTCTTTTGCATCGAACAAAGTATATTGAACAAAGCTAAGTATACAGTCGAACTTACTTGAAGTGGTATGGTATCCATATATTATCATGTTGTTGGAGAATTTTAAAACATAGGGCAATGTATGCCGCAACCTTGAGGGACTCTTCCAATATTTTTTTTGTTCCTGATGTCCTCTTTCTCCTTAAGTGTCTTTCCACCTCCTAGTTCTTTGCAATCTAGTTTCTACTCTTTAGGGTAATTAAAATTTGTTGATGCTATAGGTGAAGGGTCTATATACCCGTGTTTCAGAGCTGGCCTCTTTCTCACAAAGTCCGCTTGCATTCTACAAATCACGGCCCGGGTTAGTTACAACAAAATCAAAAGATTACATTCATATCATATCGAGAGGGCAAGGACTTACAGGCACCACATGTGAATTAGATTCATTTCCATTCGTCCGAGGTGGAAGCATGCCTAGATATCCTTAAACTCAACGACAATTTGCCCACCTGGGGCTCCAAATGTGCCGGTAGGGATCCATGCTCGTAAGATTTCTAGTTCTGTTATCTGAGCACGCAAGTACCAATCATGGAACTTTCTCATTCCATGTGGCAAGCACTGTATAACTCGGTTTGGTAGGAAGTTCTTGCCTTTTTCATATTTATCCAGGCAATCATTTGACCATTTAAGGTTATCAACAGCTGGATACTTGTTAAACCCTTTGTGCAGTTTGCTAGTGGTGCCCTCCTCGTAAGTTGGTGCTCAATTCTTTTACTTGGTTCTTAGGCTTGGCGGTCATGGGCCATCCACTTGTGCACCGACGAGACGTCATTAATGCCCACACACGATGGCCTTATCTTGATTGGGATTTTGTTTTGAGCTTCCCATTCGGGCATGTCCTTGTCAACTTGTGCATCACCGCTCCGTGGGGCCACTTGTTCTTCATGTATTTGTTCATGAGGCAATTGCTATTCATGAGACACTTGTTGTTCATGTATGCGCTTGTTGAGAAGGATGTTGCATCTCATCATGCCTTTGCTAAGACGAGCTAGAGAAGGACGTGGCATGTCATCATGCCCATGCTCTGCACGAGGTGGAGAAGGACGTGGCATGTCATCATGCCCTTGCTCGGTACGAGGTGGAGAAGTCTCTAGCGTGTGGTGGTCATGGTCATGGGCCAGTGAGTATACCTCCCCGTCCTCGATGGGTCGCTCCAGAGGATGAACTTCAGTCGGAGTTGGCGAAGACTCGGTCAATACAATGTCTCATTTGTGCCAGAGGATGAACTGGTTCATGATGTCTCCGAGTAACACGAGCCCCTCGGGAGTAGGGTGTTCTATCTTCCAAGTCATGAACTCGGGCTTCACGGTATGCACCTCGACCTGAGTGTAGTCCTACGGGATGTCCCTATTGTGCCATGTGCCGCCCGGAGGATGTGCCATGCCCGTTGCCACCTCAATGATCATGTTTTGCCTGCCCATCGGAGCCACCAATTTGCAACTGGTTGGCACCCGTATGCGATCGATGGGGGTTCTGGTTGCATTGGAACCTTGACTGTTGGGAACATCCGGAGGGCTGCCAACTACCGCCAGTTCTCTGGGCGGCCCCATTAGTGTCTGTGGCTCCATCGTAGACAATCATTTCTCGACCAACATCTTTTCAACTAGAGCCTTCACTTGGCGCTCAAGATTAGACTCTCGGTCTCTGTCATGTTTCTTGTACATGTGCCTCTCATCTACGAATGCTGCTTCGGGACATCCTCTTCCCTAGCCCCCTAGTGCCCCTTTGTGCTCGGGGTTTCCCAAGGCAACAGCAGAAGCTCGTCCCTCTCTCTAGAAGGGTTGAATGCGCCCTTCTCCTTGTCTTCAGCAAGTTTTAGTATCTTTGATACTACCTCTCCGGTCTCCGGCTTAGCAAACTTGAGGCTACTACCGGATGAATCCACACTCCTCACGTATATCCATTGTTTGAGGCGTGGCTTCAACTTCGGCACTTCCAGTATTCTCGGCAGCTTGACCTCTGCAAGGTCCATCTTCCTAAAGACCTCTTGCTTGCCAACAGTAGCCACCGGGGCCTAGACGAGGGTAGTGTTGGTTCTTTCTTCACTTTCTTTGTTATTATTACAGCACCGAGGGCCAATGATGCCTCTAAAGTCTTCTCACCCACGAGCTCCTCCCATTGACTAGGAGTTATGTTGCCATACTCGTGGAAATGAGTTAACTTCTGTTGGATAAAGTTCTTGTTCAGATCCGACCACCAACGTCGAAAGCTCTGCCCCATTATCTTAAAAGCATTTTCTTTTACCAACTCGTGCGTTTCCTTCGGAAACCTGAAGTTCTGCTTCAGCTTCTCCCATAGGTCTACCTTTTGGCTCATAGGTACAAGATTCCGACCACGGATAGCTGGGTTCAACTTATCTCTAACTACAAACCTGATGTGATTACGGAATTTCGCCCTGTATGTATATGGCTCAAGGATCTGCCCGTCTGGCCCGACCTCCGTTATCACATAGCATGCCTTGTCGTGATATTGGTTTGGCTTTCTAATCCCCAATCGTTTCCTCTTTGGCTGGGCAATCTCAGTCGTGGTTGTGTCCTAAGGTTGTGGAGCGGAGGCCTCATTGTGAGTATCTGTGGCTCCTTCCTCTGATCTCCTTTGCCCCGCTTCGTATTATTTTTAAGCAAGACAAGGGAGGCCGATAAATCTTTTCAGAGGTTGAGTAGGGACGACATGTGTATACGACATGTCAAAAGTGTTAGCAGAGGTAACATATAGCCATAGCATTAGCCAAATTTACAAGCTACTAAGGCTTTATCCGTACCTCGTCGTTCGGATCAAAATCCTTGTCCAACTCGTCCTCCGTTGGCCTCCGTCTGGGTTCTTGTGGGAAAGGATCCTCGGGACTTACATATCCCCGTGATGAGGTGTCGTCATCCTCATCCTCATCCTCATCCTCATCCTCATCATCATCCCCTTCTTCGCCTTGGGCATCCTCTCCGCCTTCTCTTCCCTAGGCTCCCCCACTGGATCCTCATCACCGACAAGGTCCTCCTGAGTAAGCATCACTTCTAGACCCTTTTCTAACTCGTTATCGAACTGCTCCTGAGTAAGCTGGTCATCTAGTTCTTGCTCTCCATGGGATGACTGCTCATCATTCACGGGGCATCGGGATGCACTCTTTGATGTTCGCGACATTTCGTGCCTTGTTCTAAGAGATGCAAAAAAAAGTAGTATAAGTAGTAGAAGTAGTAGTACTAGTGGTAGAAGTAGTAGTACTACTAGTAGTAGTAGTACTTGTAGTAGTACTAATAGTAATACTTGTAGTAGTAGTAGTCAAACAAAGAGAAAGCAAGACTAGCCCACTGCATATGCTGTATGACTCAAACAAGATGGACAGAAGAAAAGATAATGAGGATCTCCTTGCATGAGTGACTACTTTTGGTTACTCAGAATTCTATTGTCCAGTAAATAAAGTTACTGCTCATTTTTGGTTATCTCTGATTCTCTGTGTTTCTTGGGTTTCTAATTCTAGTGATTATTGTGGTAAATTCAGGTTGACTTGGGAAGTCATTTTTGTTAGTAGATTGGTGATTGTTCTCTGATCGTCCTGAATATGGGGTCCATATTTAAGTTTCTATGCTTTTTTCTTTGACTTGTATGGACTTGTTAGGTACCTCCAGAAAAATCTCCAAGAAAACCATGCCCATATATGATTGTACTGGTATTGTGTTTAGGTATTGATTGATTAAACCAAGTAGACATCTTTGTAGAGTAACTTCTATGTGCCAGTTTTCCTTGTGATGTCAGCAGTTAGGCCTACCTGGCACAGCTTACTTACATCTTTGTAGAGTTAGCTGTGGATGTCAATCTGACGATCTCTTGTGCTGATGCCTGATATGTTATTTTATTCCTCTAATTGCAGCTGTCATTTTCAGCATCGAAGTTGCGGAATTTAGATGCCTTTTCAAAGGTGAAACCTAACATTCTCAAGTACTTTAATCTTAATTAATATCTCCATCGTGATAGTAGTAGTACTTACCCCGTTCTCCAGAGGCATAATAGTATTACTTCAAAAAAAAAATTAAGTTACATCAAGCCTTGAATTGGTTGTCTCTGACTTTTGTGTTGTTGAATATTCTTAGCTACAAATGATTGGTTGTGCTGTGAAAAATGAGCAGACTATAAGTTAATACTGTTTAAAATGGTCCTTGTAATATTAATTTCATATTGGTATGCCTGTATTTTACCAACAACCATCACTTATCTTATGCCTTACTCACATAAGATTAATATATCACAGTGTATAATTACTGAAACTGGACATAGATTGCTTATGTTTGCTTGGGTTACTTTGCATCTCTACTTTTTTCTTCCAAAGGTGATATATTGTATGTTTGCTCTAGAGTGATCCTATGCTAGTGGTCTACACTAACATAAAAGGAAAACTAGAGGAGATTGGCCGTACTGAAGTGATTTTAAATTCACTGGAGCCCTCATGGATCACAAAGGTTACAATGTCTTACCAATTTGAGATTGTGCAACCACTCATGTAAGTATCTTATGATGGAAATGTAGATATTACTTGCAGAAAACTCCTACTAACTGCTACTGTTTTTCAACTCATGGTAGATTCAGGATATATGATATTGACACAAAGTACCACAACACTCCAGTGAAGGTATTAATATTGTACCCTTAATTCATTTTTTCTGTGCCTCTTCTCAAATTCATTACTTGATGACGAGATATTGGTTTCAATCAGCCAACAATCCTTTCTTATTTGATTACAGTATTCTGTGTATGGCTACTAACCATTTATTCTATGTATTGCACACGTCAGTAAAGATTTGCTTCAAAGGAGATGGGTGATTAGCTGGCAGCAATTCTCTCAAGTTCTGTTTGTAGGGAAAAAAAAATAGCAAATACAAAATAGCTTAGAATAAAAGTTCCATTTTACCTCAACCACTTGTATGCATTAATTTTTGGAAAAAAAAAATCATCATGTAACAATGGGAAATGATTCCTGGCTCATATCAGAACTATAGATTTGCTTTGATTTATAGTGATTAATTTTCTATACAACTTACAAAATATGCATTTGTTGATCTATGCAGATGTTGAATTTGTCTCAGCAAGATTTTCTGGGGGAAGCATGCTGTAACTTATCAGAGGTTGTTACAACATCGATTAGATTGATGATTGCAAATACCGTGAATATTTGTTTTGGCATTTTCTGTATTACACAAACTTATCTAAATATTTGCAAATTTTAAGAGGGAAGGAAGAATGCATTGCCTGATTTGTTTTATTTTCTTTCGCAGATTGTAACAAAATTTAACCATAGCCTGACATTGAATCTTCGGAGTGATTGTGGACATGGACTTCATGGAACAATCACAGTACATGCTGAAAAAAGTGACTCCTCTAGAATAGCAGTTGAGATGACTCTGCATTGCGTGAACTTGGAAAACAAAGATGTGTTCTCCAAAAGTGTATGGATAAATAAACTTCCTTCGCTAGAGTAATGTTATAAGCTGATAATTATAATTCTCATAAGTGTTACTTGATATTAATTACACAGGATCCCTTCTTAAGAATATCTAAAGTGGTAGAGACTGCTGGTCCCATTCCTATCTGCAAAACGGAAGTAGTACCTGACAACTTGAACCCTGTTTGGAGGCCAATCACTTTAACATCACAGCAGTATGGAAGCAAGGTAAGTAAATTTTACATGCATAACTCATTGTTGACCAACCTTTTCTTGTGCTATATTTCAGGATAACCCACTTCTAGTTGAGTGTTTTGATTTTAATTCCAGTGGTGACCATGTACTGATAGGGTATGTAAATGACTATTGAATTATTTCTTATCTTTTGCTGTCCATTCTAAGATGAGTTATGCCCTTGGTTGTCTTATGACAGGGCCTTCCAGACAACTATTACTCAGCTTGAAAATCTATATACCTCAAAGTCTGGAGCAAATTTTTACAGCCACAAGGGACAAAGAAAGGTTTGAAACTTTGGATTTTTACTATATGATGGGATATACTGAAGAAAAGAGTCACTTAAGCTAACTTTTCTTCATATGTCTAAACTGGTGTCAGATGAAAGGACAATTGTTTGTGGACAAGTTGCAGGAAACAGTCCAGCATACTTTCTTAGACTACATTTCCAGTGGATTTGAGCTCAATTTCATGGTGGCTGTAGATTTTACTGGTTAGCTTGATTTGTCAGCTGATGTTATAATATCTGTAACTCTGTCTATATTTAAATTATGTGACTGATTTTTCTGTCTTTTCAGCTTCGAATGGAGACCCACGTGTACCACAGTCCTTGCACTACATTGACCCCTCTGGCAGACCTAATTCGTATCAACAGGTTAGGATCTGTTTTTTGCTGAATTTTTTTGGGCAACATTAGCCAGCTAATTGGATTCAACACCAGACAATACTTGGGGTTGGCGAAGTTCTGCAGTTTTATGACACTGATAGGCGATTTCCTGCATGGGGTTTTGGAGCAAGGGCTCAAGGTCATGTATCACATTGTTTTAACTTGAATACTGCTACAAATGACTGTGAGGTGAGCTTCATGTCTGTTGAAATATCTTTTGACCATGCTGAACATATTTCTGTGTTATATTCTATTCTCTACCTTCACAACCATATATCGTAACACAGTAGGTAGATTTAGATATAGTATCTTTGTTAGGTGCAGTTATGGGATTGCCAAATCATGTGGGGCCCTTGCAATTTTGCTGAATATGCGAACAAACTGGGCAACATATGAACTATACTACTGGCAGCATTCGCATTGCTTATATTGATGCTATGTTTATTTATTCACCTAATGATGGTGTTTAAATTTCCAGATCATCATTGATGTTAAGGTTTTATTTATGAACACAGGTGGTTGGAGTTGAAGGCATTTACTCTAATGTGAGTACCATTCAGGTAAATTATGTCCATATACTTATTTCCTCACAGGACAAGTCTTTCAAAAATGAAAAGCAGTAAAGCACAAATATCTAGCTATGATACTAATTTCTTCCCCCCTCAGAGTATGAAATCTAACGTTAATACTATAGACATTCACAGAGTTGACGAGCATCCTAATTTATTGTCTCGATGGGATTCGGAGATTACCTCGCCTTGACGAGATCGGTCCACAACCGCCGCCGCACCTGGTCGCAATCGGTTAAGGGGCTTCGCGGCGAGGAAGATCCAGGCGATGCTGCTTGACTGAGAGAGAGGTGGGAGCACGTCCGGGTGGCGAGGGAGATCCAGGGGATGGTCCTCAGCGGATTAGGGGGGGAGCTTGGCGTCGGGCAGGTCGTGGCCACAGGCGGGCGGCGCTCGTCGATGCACGCTGGTTCGGCGGGTAAGGCGCAGCAAGGCACGGACGGCGTGGGCGGTCAGGCGTGCTGGCCCCGGCTTGCGGATGCGGAGAGGGCTGCAGCGGTGGAGGACAACGACCTCGGTGCCGCGGAGGTCTGAATTTGGGCAGCCCTTCCAAACCCTAGCCGGCCCGGCAAGGACGGAGGTCGAGGTCGAGGTCTCGAGACGGGCGTCGCGGCCTGGGGAACGACGGTGGATGGGGCGGGGGCGGCGGTTGGGGTCAGGGAGGCGGTGGAGGAGGTGGTGGAGGGGTCAAGGAGGGGCAGGCGACGGCGGTGCAGGTGCGACGGTGCAGGCGGCGCCAGCGGTGAAATTGGGCAGCCTGACGGTGGAGGAGCCTGATTTCGTCCAACACTTAGCGCCCACAGCGACGATCACTGTAATATACGCACTGTAGGGGCGGCTGAGGTTATAAGCCGCCCCTACAGGGGCACTGTAGAGACGCTGAGGTTATAAGTCATCCCTACAGTTGATTTTTTTTTTCAAAATTCTAAATCAAAATGAATTATTCATATGTAAATAATAAATAATACAATACAAAATTTTATAATTATTTTTTATAGATATATTTACATATACAATAACTAAAACAACTGGAACAGTTTAAAATTGCAAAATTGAACCTTCAAAAATAGGGAAATTTTTTTAATTTTTAAAAAATTAAAATCAAAATTACTAAAATAATTTTGAGACACCAAATGATCTCAAATGAAAATTTGATAAACATCAAAGTTGTAGAGGTCATGAAGATCTACAACTTTTATTTTGGTCATCTTGTCATTTGACAAAATTTGAACCTTTCAAATTTAAAATTTTAAAAAATGACAAGTTCGAACCAAAATTTGAGACCCAAAATGATTTCAACATAAAAAGTGATGAATACCAAAGTTGTTCAACTCATTAATATCTACAATTTTTATTTTAGTCATCTTGTCATTTGATAAAATTTGAACCTTTCAAATTTGAAATTTTGAAAAACGACAAGTTCGAACCAAAATTTAAGACCCAAATTGATTTCAACATAAAAAGTGATGAATATCAAAGTTGAACTCATGAATATCTACAACTTTTATTTTGATCATTTCTTCATTTGACAAATTCTTAGCATACATTGTTCACTAATCTTATACATGTCTCATATAGTTTGTAAAATCTTATGAGAGATGTGTCACATTTGTGAACAATATCATTACCACTTTATCATATGAAGAAATGACCAATATAAAAGTTGTAGATCTTGATGAATTATTCAACTTTGGTATTTATCACTTTTTTTAGCTGAAATCATTTGGGATACCAAAATCTTATCTAAAGTTGTATTTTTTTGAAATTTAAAATTTAAATTGCTCAAACTTTTATATGTATATATTGACAAAACCAACAAAATAAATTGATAGAGAATGATTTTAGAAAATTTTAGAAAAAAATCATCAGATTTGGAGTTAGTATGAGGAAGAAAAACTAATTACAAAGTTGACCCACATATTAAAAAAAGAAATCACACTCTTCGCTATGATCATGTAAAGATCAACTAGAATAGTATGATTTCTCTTTTTAATATGTGGGTAAACTTTATAATTAGTTGTTCTCCCTCATACTAACTCCAAACGTGATGGTTTTTTTTCCTAAACATTTCTAAAATCATGCTTCAACATTTAAGTTTGATCAAACTTGGATGTGACAATGTTTTACATATTTTAAAATTTGAAATTTAAAATTTGACAAGTTCAAACCAAATTTTCAAACCCTAAATGATTTCAAATGTAAAAGTGATGAATACAAAAGTTGTTCAACTCATCAAGATATACAACTTTTATTTTGTTTATCTTGTCATTTGACTAAATTTGAACCTTTTAAAATTTGAAATTTGAAAAAAGACAAGTTAAAACCATAATTTGGACCCCCAAATCATTTCAACTGAAAAAATAATGAATACTAAAGTTGAATAACTCATGGAGATCTATAACTTTTATTTTGGTAATTTTATAATTTGATAAATTCTTAGTACACATTGTTCACACAAACATGCGTGAATGTAGTCTCAAACACACACATAAATGTAGTTTCAAACACACATACATAAATATAGTCTCATATTCATGAATGTAGTCTCACACACACATACATAAATGTAGTCTCACACACACATACATGAATGTAGTCTTACGAACACTGACACACTTACATAAACTAGCTAGCCCACCGTGACAACTTTCCCCTTGACACCTTTTCGTTCCCATGGCAATACATCTTTGGGCAGGTTCTTTTCCACAGCCTCAATCTTCTTACAAAATTCTATGAATAGCGACATCTCATCGCACTTATTGTAAGCTTCAACATCGTCCACACCATCAACTCCGATGATATGTTGTTTCCCGGAGGCCACCACGTGCTTTGTCTTCTTCTTTAGGGGGATGTTACTTTACGGGTCGGGCATATAGAGGACTTGCGCGACACGTTCAGCGAGCACCCAAGGGTTATCCTAGTAGCCTACATTCTGGAGGTCGATGACTCTCTGTCTGATCTCATTGAATTGATGTTGCTTGATCCAGCGACATCAAAACAGGGCCACCTTTATATCCCTTCCATAGTCAAGTTCCCATATATCTTCAATTATGCCAAAGTATAGGACCTTTCGCCCCACTTCGTTGAGAGCCTCTATTCGGAGTCGCTGTTCTGATTCACAGATTTCATGTCCTTTGTGTCAGTATAGTATGTGTACCCATTGATGTCATAAGCATTCCAAGACGTCACATGTTTCGATGGCCCGGCCGCCAACCGACTGATGGTAATAGAATCTATGGTTTCTCCAGGCTTTATGTTCTAGTCCTTCAACCATGATGTTAGGCGTTGCTTATGCTGTTTCATGACCCAATCATCTAAACGGCCATTCCTCTCGGCCATAATGATAGCCATGTGCTCATCAATGTACGGTTGCATCACTGCCATACTCTGCAAGACACTGTAATGCGTCCGACTCACCTCTCTGTAATCATTGTTGAGGAACACTTTTCTACCACTTTTGCCCTTCCCAGCTAGCCTTCCCTTGTGACGAGAATTGGGATTACCAATCCCTCTCTGTACTTTTAGCCACTCTTGGCAGCACTCGATGTCTTCTTCGGATTTGTAACCCTCTATCATGGAGCCCTCTGGGTGTGTTCGGTTATGCACGTATCGGCTTAGAACCGACATGAACCACTCGTAGGACCACATTTCATGCAAAAAGTTAGGGCCCAGCGCCTCGATCTGATGAACCAGGTGAATCATGAGATGTACCATTATATCAAAAAAAGAGGGAGGTAAACACATCTCTAGCTGGTTCTGGGTCTCCACCATGAATTCATGTAGGTCACTCAGCTCTTGCCTGCGAATCGTCTTCTATGAGATCTTCAAAAAGAAGTAGCACATGCGGGTGATGGCCATCTTTAGGAACTCTGGCTTTATAGCCCTGATTGCAATTGGTAGGAACACTGTCAGCATCACATGATAATCATGAGCCTTGCAGTATATTAATGATAGGTCCTTCATCGACACTAGCTTCTTCGGGTTCGTCGAAAACCCAGTCGGCACTCTGACCTCCTAAGGAAATTACATATAGCTCTCCTCTCCTCTAGGGTTAGGTTGAAGCTAGCCACGGGAAGACTGTACTTGCCATTATCCTACTGTACTGGCCAAAGCTCCCGCATCATGTTCAGCTGCACCATGTCTTTCCATGATCTGAGACCATCCTTTGACTTGCCTGTGTCCATCAAGGTAGCCATGAGACTCTCAAAGACATTCTTCTGCACGTGCATTGCATCAATGGCATGGGGGACCTCCAAGTCTGGCCAATAAGGCAGGTACTGAAAGAAGATCGATTGCTTCTTGAATGGTATGCCTTCGATGGGAGGTGTGCTTCTATCTCTGATCGTTCCATCTGGATTCTTCTTTCCATAGACGACGTGTATGTTTTGGACCATTCTGAACACATGTTCTCCATTATGACGTCTCTCTAGAGGGGGTTCATCCTCCGGGATGCTGCCATAGTATCTTAGGTACAATTTGCCGCGGTACTTGCGACCTGTCTTTAAGAAGCGCCAGTTCCTTATGTAAACTATCTTCCTGGATCCATCTAGGAACACCCATTTAGTACCATCCAAACAGACTAAGCATTCAGTCTTGCCTTTGAACTGTCCAGATAGGGCAAACAGCGTGGGGTAATCATTGGTAGTAACAAATATTATTGCTTTCCATATGAAGTCCACCCGCCGGAACGCATCGTACATCGGCTCCATATACCTCCATAGCCTCTCCATTTCTTGCATCAGAGGCTCCAAGAACACGTCTATATCAATGCCTGGTTGTTTGGGGCCGGAGATAAGAATGGTGAGGAGAAGGTACTTTCTCTTTTGACACAAATACGTTGGGAGGTTGTACATGGTCAAGATGACTGGCCATGTGCTGTGGTCGGTCATCCTCTCATTGAAAAGATTCATTCCATCGGTGCTCAAGCCGAACCGTACATTCCGTGGGTCATCACTGAATTCTGCTTTGTACTTGGCATCGAACGCTTGCCACTGGCTACAATCGGTCAGGTGTGCGATCGTATCATCATCCACCTTGCGCTCATCATCCCACCATGTCATTAGTGTGGCTTCCTTAGGGTTTAGGAACATATGCCTCAAGCGGTCGGTCACTGGCAAGTACCACATAACCAGGGCAGGAATTCTTCTCTTATTTGCATCATTGCCTAATGGAGTTTCCTCTGGGGGCTGAGATTCTTGCACCACCTTCTTCCCATCCTTCTTCCTCTTTCCTGTAGAGGCTTCCACCCCACTTTGAAGGTCATTGTTCTTGTAACGACTAGCCCCACACCCAGGACATGTATCTAAAGTCTCGAACGACGTGCCACGCCGAAAAAGGATACCGTGGTTGGGGCATGTATGGATTTTTTCAACCCCCAATGTGAGTGGACTTATAACCTTCTTCGCTTGGTATGTGTTGGCGGGAATTGTGTTCGACCGTGGGAGCAACCGTGACATGAGGCACAACAGATCATCGAAACTACAGTCCGACCAGCCGTACTTAGCCTTCAGGATGAGTAGCTCAAGCACAAAACG